TTCCTCAAATTGTTTGTAAGTTCTCCTCAACCCAGTTGTTATTCCTCATATAGTAGGTTGCAAAGTTCTTCAGGGATGGCTTGGGAGGCTCAAAAATGAGGGGCCAGGCATTTAGCTCAGCTGCATAAGTGCCTGCTTGGCAAACGCAAAGTTGTGAGTTTGATCCCTGGTACCCAAAAAAAAAAAAAAAAAAAAAATTAAGCTAATGGTTTTTTTCTCAGATCACTGAGTTCCCCAAGCCAGAGTTTATGACTAAGTCTCTGGAAGAACTACAGATTGGCACCTATGCCAATATTGCTATGGTCCGCACCACCACTCCTGTCTATGTGGCTCTGGGCATCTTTGTACAGCACCGAGTCTCAGCACTGCCAGTGGTGGATGATAAAGGTGAGAGATTGGAAAGAGAGGGAGGGATCTGGGTTAGACTGCTTCGGGAAAATGTGCTTTTCCCCTCAGCTCAGCCTGGAGGGCAATTCTGTGGGTAGGGGGAGCCTTGGAGGCCAAATCATCCTTCCTGAGCTGCCTCTGTCCCTCTAGGGCGCGTTGTGGACATCTACTCCAAGTTTGATGTTATCGTGAGTGATGTGGAAGGGCTGGGAAGTAGGGATGGGCATGGGGTGGTGAATGTGGAAAGGGAGAAAGACTCCCTCCTGTGACCTAAGGGTCTTGGAAAGTTCCAAGCTTTCAGATCCTATTTAAAATGAACTGAAGGAGCTGGTTATGGCTTGTGGGAATGGCTGACAATTGCCGTAAATCTTTCTGATGAGGTTGGTGGGTCCTGGGAGCTTGAAGGCTGGCTCCCTTGCTTCCCTGCAAGCCCTTCCTCTCTCTTCCTAGAATTTGGCAGCAGAAAAGACCTACAACAACCTAGACGTGTCTGTGACCAAAGCCCTACAGCATCGATCACACTATTTTGAGGGTGTTCTCAAGTGCTACTTGCATGAAACTCTGGAGACCATAATCAACAGGCTGGTGGAGGCAGAGGTAGGAACCAGCCTCAAGGACCTGGAGATGGGCTTGAGAGAGGGGTGGGGGCTGAGGGTTCACTCTAACTGAGGCTGCCACTAAACATCCCTTCTCCTTGTTACTCTGTGCCAGGTTCACCGACTGGTAGTCGTGGATGAGAATGATGTGGTCAAGGGAATTGTGTCACTGTCTGACATCCTACAGGCCCTGGTGCTCACAGGTGGAGAGAAGCCCTGAGCAGGGGGATGGGGTGAGGCAGGCATTGAGATATGCCCCACTCTCCACCTGCTGGAAGCTCTGGGAAGATGAAACCTTGGGAGAATTGAGCTGACCATTTCCCTGTGCAGGAACCCCCTTCCCTGTGTCTAAAAGACAGGGGAGACAGGAGGGAACGAAGGAGAAAGACTGTTTGGCTGCCCTTACCCTCACACATATACTTGAGGACTTTTAGCCTAGCCAGTCCTAGCCCCGTCCTCTTAGGCACAGACCCCTTTTGGGTGAAACAGGGGCTCTGTACTCTGCAAGCAAGTTCTGATCTCTAAGAGATCCTAGACCTCACCCTGCCTCTGCTTTAGCCTCTGCCCTAAGATAACAGCATAACAAATCGGCCATAAAGATATTTTTATTCTTCCTGATCATGCTATTTGGAGGAGGCTGCATCCATTTAGTGACATTTCTTGCCCTCATTTGAGTGGGGAGGCTTGTGGGGAGGATGGCCTCTGTGTTCCTGTGCTGTGTGCCTATGAAGGGAGATGGTTAGGTGGAGGAGGGCAGAGTGGTTAGCCAAGGTTATTTTCATGGCAAATCTAATTAAATGACAACAATCTCATTGTGGTATTACAGTATTTGACTTTTACAGCTGATAGAGAGTTCCTTCAGCCTTTCTACTTTATATGGTTTCTTCAGTGCATCGTGTACACACACACACACACACACACACACACACACACACATATAATGAGGTGCCAAATACCATTCTTAGTGCTTTCCTAGTACAGGTTGAATATCCTTTATGAAAAATGTTTGGAGCCATAAGTGTTTCAAATTTTGAAACATGTCAAATTTCAGACTTTTTTCCCCCAGTACTAGGGCCTTGTGCCATGCACCTTTACTATGGAACTACATTCTTAGCTCCCTTTTCTTAGTTTATTTTGAGACAGAGTTTCACAGAGTTGCCCAGGCTACCCTCAAAGTTGCAATTCTGCTTCAGCCTCTGGAATAGCAGGTATTACAGGCAATGTGCCATCACACCTGGCTGGAGTTCACATTTTTTCATTAGGGATGTGTTAATTCATTTAACCCTTAGGACACTACTAGATACTGTTACTATTCTAGTTTCAACAGATTTTTAAAAGCTGAGTGAGGCACAGAGAGGCTAAGAAACTAGGCCACAACCATGCAGCCAGTGAAAAATAAAGCTAGGATTTGATCCCAAATACCCTGACTTTAGGTCTCATGTTCCTATTTCACTATACTAGCTCATTACTTACTCTAATTCTCCTTTTTCAGCTATTCCCCACCCTAGTGCCTGCAGTTTCCCTTTTTCTCTCACTTTCTCTGCCTGGGCCACAGGAAAACATCAGTGTTAGGTCTCCAAAGAGTGGGCAGACACAGGGTCCTGTTCAGGCAGAGAGGACTCCCACCATTCTCACCTGGCCTTAGGGGAGGAAGCTTTTTTGGGGCTGGTGGCATCTGAATTTATAATCCTTTGCCTGCTGCCTTTCTTCCAGGGTAAGAAGAAGTTTAGACAGGGGTGGGGGCACAGCAGGACCATGGCCACCCCAACAGACCCATTCTCTGTGGAAACCATGTGGACACAAACAGCACAACGACACCCAGCACGCTGGGAGCTATGTTCTGGTTATCACCTCACCACTGCCTTGCAGGTCTGATGGTTTCCTAAGTGAGCCAGCAGCAGTTTGAGAGTAATATCTTGGCCCTCCCTCCTCCTCCTCATGCCTGAACCTTCTGGTGAACCTTCAGCTATACAGATGAGATTCCTACAAATGACACTTCTTGATGGGGCACAGGGAAAGCACCGAGGCACTTGTCAGAGCTGAGCTTTCACTACCTCACCCTGTAAGGATCCTGCCTCTGTGTTTACCTCTTCAGGGCTCTCACAGCACATTCCTAAAGTGGGGGAGGGGCATTTCCATTAGAGTACGTACGTGGGTGTGGGCGCATGGAAAGGACAGATGTCTCATGTCATTCCCTCATGAGGGAGGATTTGTCCAGGAGGAACCAGGGGATTAAAAAGCTGTGGGATTCCAGTGGGGTCTAGGGTGGATGGAGGCATCTTCAAGCAGAGCTACCAATGCAGCTGGTAGGTACATGGAATCAAGGGGGAAAGTGGATGGGACAGGGATGGTGGAGTTCTTTGTAAAGGTCCATGTGAGAGAGCAGCAGACTTGGGTTTTGTGCTATTTTATAGTAAGTCCTGTCCCAGCAACCCAACACTACTTCGGGCCCCTTAAAGGAAGGGTCTGTACCCAAAGGATTCCATGCACCTGTCTCCCAGTTAGTTGCAAAATCTGAGGATGGAACTGAGAGAAAAACAAGGGAGGAATTTGGGAGCTCACAGGCTTCTAATTTTACCTACCCCTCTGAGGGGAGGCAAATTGTCCCTTCTTCCTGAGGAACCATTATCATACTCTCTCCCTGTACCCCTCCCTTCCACTGGAGCTGCTCCCATGGTTGCCAGGCATGGTTGCTAAGTCTCTGCATGGAAGGGTTGGCGTGGGTTGTGCTGCCTCTAACATTACCATGGTGAATCAGGGGACACCTGGTATAGCTTAGGGGGAGGGATCTTGTGGATATAAGCAACTCCCCCCCACCCACCCAAGGACAGGATGAACCCAAAAGGTGAGCTTCATACAGGGGCTGAGTGAAGCTCTCCAGTGGGCGATGGCTGCCTGAGCTGGGAGGGGGCTCCCTAGGCATTTTGGTGGTGAGGGGGAGCCCTACACTGGGAAATTGAGAGCACTTTTATCTACAGTTGCTAGGGGATTCAGTTTGCCAAGGGAGTACATCACTCCTCCATCCCCCTCTGTAAGGGTGCAAGTGCATAAGCACTCAATTCTGTTCTCCATAAGGCTGAGCAGAGCTGTGTGGGCACAGAACAGTATAACCCCCAAATCCTGGCTTCTGGATTGGGGGAGAGCCTGCTGTTTGTGTGTGTGTGTGGGGGGTGGTATTCCATGTGTGCCCAAGGACAAATACCTAGAATGAGAGTGATGGAGCAGCTTAGGTGGCCCAAACAGACCTCTGTCCATCAGCCCTGTGCTGCAGTATTTCAAAGGTGAGTTAAAGGTGGAAGGGTCACTCTGAGCTTGGGGGAGCTGCTCTCCCCCAGAGTCTAACAAAAGCTTCCTCAAAACCACCGCCTCCTCTCCACTGCTTGGGAGCTGGTTACTCAGCTGTCTCTGCACCCGAATGCCACTGCCGCTAAAAATAACCCCCCCAAGCCCTGGACCAGCCCCTCCTGCGCCCCAACCCCATGGAAACCAGCAAAGAGGTGCAGTCAAAGACCTTGAGTTCCATTTTTCACCACTCCCTCCCCGTTGGGAAAACAAGTCTGAGGCAGGAAGTTAGGGGTACAGCCCTAGTGGACAAGCAGCTGAAAAGCAGGAGATAAAGAGTTAAAAAACGGCAGGAAGGTTGAAGAAATGGGGGCAAAGGAGGGGAGCACTGTCAGCCTGGCAAGACTCCGAAGTCCCTCCCCCGCCCATTCGTGCGGGTCCCACCAAGCTTGGGGGACAAGAGCGATAGGAAACGGTGTCCAATCCCAAGCCCCAGGGGGCGGCCGTGCTCATGGGGGAGGTAGCGCTGAGCAGTCCACGCAGTGTCACATGCATGCGCGCACGCGCGCGCACACACACACACACATACACACACATACACACACATACACGCACACACGCACATAGAGGCACACACGTGTGCCTGGGTATATATAGTTCCCAGTCCCCGGGCCCGCCGCTCTGCAGTGGGCGCCGGCTGCCGGAGCTGGGAGGGGGCTCCCGGGGCGGGTGGGAGGGTGGGGGGCCGGGGTGGGGTGGGGCAGGATGCTGGATGGCCCGGTATTCTCCGAGGGGCCCGATAGCCCCCAGGAGCTCCAAGAAGAGGAGTCTGGCAGCTGCCTCTGGGTGCAGAAGTCCAAGCTGTTAGTGATCGAAGTGAAGACTATTTCCTGTCATTATAGTCGCCGAGCTCCTCCTCGACAGCCCATGGACTTCCAAGCCAGCCACTGGGCCCCCGGGTCCCAGAGCCGCACGTGAGTGCAGGGGTGAGGGGAAGTAATGAGTGGGTTGGGGAGCGGGGTCCAGACCTCCCTGCAGGCATTAGCAAACACTGCTAGTTCCCCTTCTCTTTCCCGCGCCTGCCTTCCCCACCGCTCCAGGGCTGGGGCCTGACTCATACAACCTTGTTCAGAGGGATAGGAGTGGGTGTGAGAAAGGGCAAGGGGTGAGATGGGGCAGGCGCTCTTAACGTGTGCATGGCGAGATGGGGAGAAGCCCCACTTCGACTCCACCCCTGACACAGACACACGTGCACACGCACACACACATGCCCCTTCACAGGGGAGACCTAAGTGCTCTCTAGTGCTCCCAGCTCCCCGGACGTCGGCCCCTTTCCCCCACAAACTGCTCACCTGGGTTCCTGCTCATTGTCCCAGGTGTAGGCCGCGCCCGGGATCCCCTGAGCCGCCACCCCGCCGGCCCTGGGCCTCCAGGGTGCTGCAGGAGGCCACCAACTGGCGGGCGGGGCCCCCGGCCGAGGTCCGAGCCCGGGAGCAAGAGAAAAGGAAAGCAGCGTCGCAGGAGCGGGAGGCCAAGGAGACAGAGCGAAAAAGGCGCAAGGCTGGCGGGCCCCGACGGAGCCCCCTGGGCCAGTCCCGCCAGGAACCCCGGAACGCCCTTCGGGCGGCCCACCCTGCCGGCCTCTCAGCGCCCCCTCGGCCCGAGCGCTTCGGGCAGGTGGGGAGAGCGCCCCGTCCACCCGCGCAACCGCAGAGCGACCCAGGGGCGGTGTGGGCCGGGTCCTGGGCAGGTCGCAGACCAGGGCCCCCCAGCTACGAGGCTCACCTGCTGCTCAGAGGCGCTGCAGGCACTGCCCCGCGACGCCGCTGGGACCGGCCGCCACCCTACGTGGCTCCACCTTCTTATGAAGGTCCCCACAGGACCTTGGGGACGAAGCGAGGTCCCGAGCGTTCCCAGGGGCCCACCTCCTCTGCCCCAGCTCCTACCCCAGCCAGGACAGAGGGAGGGCGCGCTAAGAAGAGGCTGGATCCTCGAATCTACCGGGACGTCCTTGGTGCTTGGGGTCTTCGACAGGGGCGGGGCCTCTTAGGGGGATCACCAGGCTGTGCAGCGGCCAAACCGAGACTGGAGTTTAGCAAGGGGGGCGCGGAGAAGAGTCCGGGCCTAGCTACTGCTGCCCTCAACAGTGGCAGCGACAGTCATTTCCAAGCCGACGTTCCTAGTAGCCCGGGCACGGAAATAGCTCTTGCGGGGCCTGTACCTGCGACCACCAGTCCCCCGCGTACTGCCCCCAGGTTCAGGCACCAACTCCAGGGCTCAAGAGAAGGGAAAGAAGGAAGGGAACGTATCTGGCTCCCCAAGTGCTGGATTCCTTCCCCTAAAAAGCAGCCGCCAAGGCATAGCCAGACGCTCCCCAGACCTTGGGCTCCAGGAGGCACAGGATGGAGAGAATCCCTGGGTCAGAGAGAGGGTGTAGGGCCGGAGGCCCTGGAAGATTGGAAGGAGACCCGCCGTCCCCATACCCTGCCCCGCAGCTCGCGGGGCCTGGCTCGCGGAGAAGGCGTCTTTGTCATTGACGCCACGTGCGTGGTGATACGGTCCCAGTATGTTCCGACTCCGCGAACCCAGCAGGTGCAGCTTTTGCCCTCTGGGGAGTCGCGTGTCGTGGGCGACGGCCCCAGGCAACCCAACGGCAGCAAGGAGGAGGGCGAGAGAGCCTCAGTCTTTTCCTCCGCCTGCCAGAAGCTGCTGTTGAGCAGTCGCGTTTTGCACCAGCCCAGTGGGGAGCCCAGGTGCGAGGCCGAGGGCGGGAAGGCGGAGGACTCCTCACCGGAGGAGCGCGCGGCCCGCACCTTGGGACTCTCGGCCGGCGAAGTCCATGTGCCGTGCGCCGCCGCGCAGCCAGCGAGCCCTGAGCACGCAGCCTCAGGCGCGGCGGCCCCGGCGGACGCGGGCAGCGTGAGGGGCTCGAAAGTGACGGCTGCCCCGCGGCGCGCGGGAGGGGGCTGGGCACGGACTCCCGGGCCCTACGCCGGAGCCCTGCGGGAAGCCGTGTCCCGCATCCGCCGCCACACCGCCCCAGACTCAGACTCAGACGAAGGTGAGGAGGAGCTCAGTGTCCACAGCGGCTCCTCTGATGGAAGCGACACAGAAGCCCCGGGCGCCTCCTGGTGGAGTGAGCGGACCCCGCCCGAGACTGGCGGCACCTCGCCTGGAGAAGGCGGGAAGACAGCAGAGTTGAAGGCAGTATCCGGGAGACTCTAGATGCCATCAGCCAACCTGAACAGGCCCTCTTCCCCACGAGGGATACCAATGGGACCCCACAGGGACATAGGAAGAGGTAGTGAGAGACCCCTTCCTGTGTCTGTGTCTCCTGACGACTCATCTGCCCTTGGACCCACGGTCCCCATTCTTCCCCACACAGTTCCTTTTCCTTGTTCCCCTACCTATTGTTGTTCCTATGAATAGAAATGAAAGGGAGCATATGTCTGGTTTTGTTTCAGGAGGGGTGTGGGTGAGCAGTAGATTGAATGCCTGCTGCCTTCAGGAAACAGGGTAAGGTCTTCAGCATGGACTGCTGCATAGGTGTCCAGAGATGCCTGGCCAGGATCAGGCAAGAGGGCAGAGGCAGGGCAGGGCCGGGCCTGTGGGCACAAGGGACAAAGTGATGGAGAGGCTTTGGACCTAGTGACAGACTGACCAAGTGACAGAGGGCTTCTTGGCAGAGGCTGAATGGAATGGGTCTAAAGCAATCAGCAAAAGCAGGAAGAGGGCTCACCTTCAGGTCACAAGTCTGGAATATCAATTCTGCCACTGACTCAGTGGTTGGCCTTAGACCGGTCACTTCCCCTCTCTAGGCTTCCAGGGTTTCTGGTATGCTGTATGAGGGGTTCTCTGGTCCACCCTTCCATCCTTGGAGTTTGGGATCTTTGGGAAGGGCTCTGTCTAATCCTGTTTTCATCAAGCCATAAAGAAAGTTGGGAATCCGTGAAAAGAATCTGAGGATTTCGTGACCTCCTTGTCATCTGCATCTATTCTCAATTCAGCAGACTGCAGAAGAGCTGAGTGGGCAAAAGGCTCTTACCCCTGTCTCCAAGGTTTAGGTGAGGGTACCTGATGGTACCTCAACGGAGGGCAGGGTAGTGGCCCTGGCTCTGCTCCTGGCCCTGGCCTGTGGTGGTCCCAGCTGGGGAGGGAAGGCAGCCAATGAATCAGCGTGGGACCTCTCTTTAGGCCTTCCATTTCCCTTCACCCTCATATTCTCTAGTAATACTCTGGAGCGTTATTAAGATTTCCTACTCAGGTAACACCTGATAGAACCCTAAAAGTCTGCATTTCTGCCTCTTCAGAATCTTGCCCGGGGAGGAAGGAGGCTGGTTCTAAGAAACCGGGATATAGGGTGTGGTGCTCCCTGTGGCCACCGGGGGGCGCGCGCAGGTCGCAGATTTCCCAGGTTGCAGGTCCCCGAGACTCCTGTCCCAAGCTGCCTGCAAATCCGAGTCCCAGTTTCCGCGCGCCTGTCCCCCACTGTGTCGCCTCCAGCCGCGCGAGCCAGGAGCAGGGCTCCGGCCTCCTAGACTTCTGGAACGCGTAAACCCCCGCTTGTCCGCATCCACGCCTGCGGCTGGGGCGAATGCACCCTGAGATTTTTTTTTCTTCTTTTGGTCTCGGATCCTGGGCACCTCCTTCGTCTCTGCCATTTACTAGCCATATGAATTTGGCCAAATCACTTCGCCTCCCTCAGACTCAGTTTCCTCATCTGTCGAATGGGGGGTTTATAAACACCTACCTCGCAGGGTTGTTGTGAGGATTTCATGCGGTAATGTACATATAGCGCCTAGCACAGTGCCTGGCACACAGTAGGCGCCCAATAAATCTAACCTTCGCAGGCCCTGGCTCGGACCTTCTTTTAACCCCCCCCCCCCGCGCCGGCCCACACCTGGCTCCTGCATCTTCCCCGGGGCTAGGTGCTCGGTGCAGGGAGGGAGGCCACCTCTCCTCGGGAGCTTCCAGCTACCCTGCCTCCCGGCCTGCGTCCCCGCCCCCCATTCCGGGCAGGGACTGAGTCAGCCCGGGTAAATTTAGCCGCCGGCCCGGCAGGCGCGGGGGCTTCGCCAGACTCAGTCGCCCGACCTGGCCTCGCCTCTGTCCCGCGCCCACCAGGGCCGCAGCCCAGTTCCCTAGGCGCTCAGGGCCCGGGCCCCCTCTCGAACCGCTCACCGTCTGGGTCTCAGGTACCTGGAGGTCAGCGGGGAGACCGAGCTCCTCTGCGCGTCCCCAAGCGGAGGGTGAACGCGGCGCTGTGCTGTCTCGGGCAGGATCCCAGCAGGCGCCCAAGGCCAGGACGAGGAGCCTCACCACAGGCTGGGCGTGCAGGTTCGCTGATCCCGGGCAAAAGGAGGGCCGGACGCGTCAGTAAGAGGCTCGGGAAGGGTTTATCAGGCAGAAATTACAAGGTGCATCCTCAAGAAATAGAGCGCGAGCCCTCAGAGAGGCGCTCTTGACCTGTAAGGGATAGCTGCAGCAGCAGCCCGCCACCAGGGGCTGCGGAGTTTGGAGCCCCTTTCTGTATGGATCCTGGCTTGTTACTTAACATCTCTCTCTTTCTCTCTTTGAGAATATATATATATATATATACTTTCCTGCTAGGTGTTTAAAACCAAGACCTATATCAACCAAGGTCAGTTAAGGTGCCTCAGGTTTGGGCTATTTTGGGGTCCTGTGTAGAGGCCTTACCTCCTCCGGTTTTTCCCTCTACCATCTGTGTCATTTGTCAGGTTGGTTCACAGTCTTTGCTAGACCACGTGGCTTCCCTTGCAAGCATAGGGACAGTCCTCTCTCATGCCCCACTGGAGTGACCTTCCTTTTAACGCAATATACCCTGACAACTCCTGTCCCCTAGAGTCCCACAGGCTTCCTGCTTGGTCCTTTTTGAGGAAGAGTCTTGCTATGTAGTTCAGGATTGCCTTGAATTCAATGTGTAGCCCAGGCTGGCCTCGAATTCTTGCTTCAGCCTCCCAGAGTGCTAGGATTAAGGTGTGTGCTACCACACTAAGCAAAAGTATAAAGTTTTACAAGGAAAGTTTAAAATCAGGAGCAATCTGAGCATTTTAGGATAATGATTATGTTGATATTATACTAGAAACATTATTATTATTATTATTATTATTGGTGATGGTACCAAGAATTGACCTTATGACCTCCACTTGGCAGGCAGACACTTATGCCACTAAGCTAAATCCCCAGCCCTAGAAACATTATTTTATTATCTCTAAAAATGCATTAAAATTCAAATTCCCATTTTAGTATGAAATAATTTATAGCAGATTAACATCCAATTATAAAATATTAAAGTATATAAATAAATTCTCATCTAAATTTGGTACTTTTTAAAAAAATAAAGTGCACTTGTTTATAGATGTACTTTATATATGACTAATGCCCAATTTTTTTATTTTATTTTATTTGTTTTTTTTTTTTGCAGTACTGGGGATTGAACTCAAGACCTCATGCTTGCCAGGCAGGCGCTTATGCCACTGAGTTAAATCCCCAGCCCCAAATGCCCAATTTTTGTTTATTTGTTTTGTGTTTTGATTTTTGAGACCAGGTCTCATTATGTAGTTCAAACTGAGCTTGAACTCAATATGTAGCCCACGATGGCCTCAAACTTGTGGCAATCCTGATGCCTCAGCCTTCTGATGGCTGAGATCACAGGTGTGTGCCATCATACCCCTCTAATGCCCAATCTTTAGAGTGACACTACCTGACCTGTGTGTTGTTTAGGCACAACCTACTATCATTCTCAGTTTTTTTTTCTTCTTTTTCCGTTTTTATAGGTACCAGGGATCGAACTTCCGACTGCCTGCTTGCAAAGCAGGCGCTTATGCCGCTGAGCTAAATCCCCTATAACCTACTATCATAATACAATTACAAACATTACATAAACATAAGCCTGAAAGTCTTCATTATACACAGTTTTGCTTGAAGACATTGTTGTAAGGTGACCTCCTAATTTCTATATTTTAGTGAGCTCATACACTTGGGGAATGTAAATGTATTAAATATACCAAGAGGTTAGCAATAGCTGGCATCACACCTATATAGAAATCTTGCTGTTGACAGTATCATGCTTTTTAGTTCAGGCTGGCTTTGAACTGACTGGGCCAGGCTGGCCTCAAATATACAGTGATCTTCCTGCCTTGACCTCTGTAGTGCTGGAAGTACAGGTGTGCGCCACCATGTTTGGCTGAAAGCTTTTACATATATTAGCCTAGTTACCCTTAAGGTAAAATTTAGATTCCTTTAACAGGTTCCTACGGTGTAACTATACTGACAGGAATATCTTCAGACCTCGTAAATATAAGAAACAATGTTAAAGACCAAAAATAGATTTCTTACACAATATATGTGTATCTTATTTTATATAACAAAATGCTTATTTAGTGCAGTCCAATATATAGATTTCTTACACAATATATGTGTATCTTATTTTATATAATAACAAAATGCTTATTTAGTGCAGTCCAATATAGATCAAATTTTAAATAGCAGGACCAAATTTAAAGAGATGTCAAAATTTTTTTGATCATTTTACATGTTTAAGGTTTAGATACACTGTTAAAAGTGTACCAATTGGTTACTTTGTATACATTAAACAAAAGTGTGTGGTCTTAACTCTGTAAACTTTTTAACTTTAGGTGAAGCTCAAGCCCAGCATGGTAACACTTGGTAGACTGAGGCAGGAGAATTACTGCAAGTTTCAGGCTGGCCTGGGCTACATAGTGAGTTCAAGGCCAACCAGAACTACATAGCAAGATCCTGTCTCAAAAAACAAAATCAAAAAACTCAAAACAAAAATAAAGAAATGAAACAAAACATTAGGTAAATGTTAGTTGCTTTTTCTTGTTGCTGAGACAAAATACCTGACACCCAAAATTTAAGGAGAGAAGGTTTATTTAGCCCACAGTTTGTAAAGGTTTCAGTCCATGTTAGCTGGCTCCAAGGCAGGGTGGCTCATGTGGACAAGCATCAAAGGGGAGAAACAGTTCATGGAAGCTAGACGGTAGCAAAACAAACCAAGGGCCTTGACAGGGTCTTTCTGCCCCTTTTATTTTATCCAGGCTACTCAGGGCTGATACCCTCACACCTAGTGTCCTTAGCCTAGCACTGCACTGTCACACATGCTAAATTCAACCACCTCTGAAAAGCCCCACCTATGACCACATGAGGCTTTAGGGGACATCTAGATACAAGTCATAACAGTGATGCTATTTTTGACTCTGTATTTTCTTTCCCTAATATACTTTTTTCTCTACTCTCAGATATCTATATAGATATGGAGATAGTACATTACAACCTAGGATAGTAGTTATTCATTTGAACATTTATAAACTGATTCTTTTTATTTTATTTATTTTTTGGTACCAGGGATCAAATTCATGACCTCAAGCATGCCAGGCAGACGTTTGTGCTATTGAGCTAATTCCCTAACTCTATAAACTTTTTTTGTTCTTTTTGAGACAGGGACTGTTCAGACTGGCTTTGGGCTCACTTTGTAACTCAGGCTGATCTCTAACTCATAACGATTCTCCTGTCTCAGCCTTCCAGTGCTAGGATTATAGGCATGTATTACCACGCCTGGTTTATAAACAGATTATTGAAAACATTTTATTTATTTATTTGTTTAGGTACTGGGGATTGAACTCATGACCTCATGCTTGCCAGGCAGGCACTTATGCTGCTGAGCTAAATCCCCAGCCTATTTATTTATTTGTTTAGTCTTTTTGAGACAGGGATTCTCTATGCAGTTCAGGCTGGTATTGAGCTCACTTTGTAGCCCAAACTGGCTTCACACTTCCAACAATCCTCCTGCCTCAGTCTCCTAAGTGGTGGGATTACCAATTAAAAACTATTTAAACATTGGATTGTTATAAAATGTTTTCAAACCAGGTGTGGTGGCACATGGCTGTAATCCCAGCACTTGACAGGCTGAGGAAGGAGGATTGCTGGTAGATCAAGTCCAGCCTTGGCTACAAAGTGAGTTCAGGTCAGCCTGAATTGCATAGTTTCAAAAAACAAAACAAAACACCTATTAAAATACAGGGAGTTTTTGTGGTCAAAAACCTAAATATGGAAAACACAAGAAATTATCTTAATAAAATATAAAGCCTTTTTTTAGTTTTTTTGGTAAACTTAACCAACAGCATTTTAACCTGAAGAAATCATTGCTTTTTTCTCTCTCTCTCTTTCTTTTTGAGACAGGGCCTTGCTATGCAAGGGAGCTTGAGCTCCCTTTGTAATCCTGGCTGGTCTCTAACTTGCAACAATCCTCCTGCCTCAGCCTTTTGAGTGCTATGGTTACAGATGTGCCCATCACACCTGGTTTATTGCTTTAAAATATAAACTCTTTACCCTTTTAATTAAAGTCAACATAACTATATATTATAATAATTTTTAATAACTTTTGTGAGTACAGAGGCACAGTAAGACTCTGGAGAAAACCAGAGAAGCCACCTATCAGTGGAGAAAACTAAAGCAAATCCATTCCAGCAGCTGCTTTTGCAATCGCAGCGGGGAGTTTTGTTCAGTAGTTCCCTAGGCCCACGGGCCCCCACTTAGGGGAATTTTTAAAGTATTATTTTAAAATTGATGTGATGGCACATGCCTGTAATCTCAGGACTTGAGAGGCAGAGGCAGGAAAACCCACATGAGTTCAAGGCCAGTTTGAACTACAAAGCAAGACCCTGTATCCAAAACAAAAATTAATGTAAAATTATAATTTAGAAATTTAACTTTTAGTTGAGGAAGCAATCTTTTAGCTTTATATATTATTAATAATTTATGAAAACACATTTATTAGATCAAAATATATTCTTACAAACTTTAAAAAGA